TGCTTTTTATATAGAACCTATTGTTGTGAATTTCATCCAATACCTCTTTATCCATCTTCTGAATCTGATTATTCTTTGGGATACACAGGTTAGAGCTGTTTGATGGCATGAATTTGAAAAGTCTTAGGATCAAATATATATCATAGTGTATCTTTAATACACCTTTGAGCTTGTTTGGTAACTATCGATACTGGTAGGATTCATATTATTTATTTGATAACTCCTGACAAGTATAGATAAGCACTGAACAAAGACTAGTTTGGGTTTCGTTTTGGTTAAAAATTGCAAAAATACAGACTCTGTTAGGTGTAGCACTGATGTCATCTGTAAATACCACAATTAACAGCTCAGATCAGTACAACAGCAGAAAATATTTCATGAACAATAGTACTAATGTGACCTGGCTTTATATGAATATCTGACTAGTGAAGCTTGATCTCCTCTGTCTCAAACTCCCTTAGATATTCCCATGTCCTTCCAGAAGTGTCCCTGGGGGTTCATCATCTGTCTCCTGTATTGCTCTCCCGGTGACCAAAAGCAAGTCGACAGCTACGTGTAAGCTCAGTAAGAGAGTCAAAAAATGGAAAGTAGAGTTCTGCAGTTTAACCAGACTGAAGTGTAGCTGTTTGTGTTTGTGCTGGTATCAGCACACGCATTTGAGAGGTTGTTGTGCCATTTTGGAAGGAAGAAAAACAAAGAAGCTTAGTTTTAGGAAATTGGTAAATATCAGAGCTCAAAGGTGACATCGCTGGAGAAGTGACAAAGTGTTTGCCGCGTGTACCTTCAGGCTGATCTGTGGTTCTTGGTAACTGGTGGAGTCGGCTTGTGTTTCCTTTGCTGGGATGAAGGGTTCTGGCAGGGTGCATTTGTTGCTAGTGAGGTTAGAGTTGACAAGTTAAATAGTTTGGTAACACAAAGCACTCATTATTGTCAAAATGTTGCTTCATTGAATCTATTTAGGCAAAGCCTATGGTTTGGGGAAAAATACCTGTGGAGAGAGTCCAGCGGAGGGCTACAAGGATGGTGAGGGGACTGGAGCATCTCCCCTACGAGGAGAGGTTGAGGGAACTGGGCTTGTTCAGCGAGAAGGCTGAGAGGGGACCTAATAAATGCTTATAAATATCTGAAGGGTGGGTGTCAGGAGGATGGGGCCAAGCTCTTTTCAGTGGTGCCCAGTGACAGGACAAGGGGCAATGGGCACAAACTGAGGCACAGGAAGTTCCGTCTGAACATGAGGAGGAACTTCTTCCCTCTGAGGGTGACGGAGCACTGGAACAGGCTGCCCAGGGAGGTTGTGGAGTCTCCTTCTCTGGAGATATTCAAGACCCGCCTGGACAAGATCCTGTGCGGCCTACTGTAGGTGACCCTGCTTCGGCAGGAGGGTTGGACTAGATGACCCACAGAGGGCCCTTCCAAACCCTACTATTCTGTGATTCTGTACAGATTCCTGGAAATGCAACATAGGCAATGGAAACATGCGGAAACTGTAGTCTGGCTGGCTGCACAGTTGTGTTTTTGGTGCTATTTTTGTTTTTTTTTAGTATAAGCTATTTTGTGTAAATAAGCTTTTGTTTTTTTATGTTCTGATTTAATGTCTCTTATTTTGCAGATGAGTTCAGTGAAAAAGTTGCAGTCGCGTCTCAATGGGATCCTTTTCAGGCTTATGTTTGAAGAGCACGTAAACAACATCAAACCTGACATTATGGCGGTTACGCTGGCTTGTGAAGAGCTGAAGAAGAGTGAGGGCTTTAGTAAGCTTTTAGAGTTAGTGCTCTTCCTTGGAAACTACATGAACTCTGGCTCCAGAAATGCACAGTCTCTTGGTTTTAACGTCAGTTTTCTTTGCAAGGTAAGATGAAGCTATAAAACTTGTAAGTGCAGATTCATGAAACTCGGGACACGTGGGAAAGTACCCTAAACAGGCAAAACGTTCAGTCACCGTAGTTTACTGACTGTACCTCCATTTTTAATAATGGATGGACAAATATGGAGTAAACGTTTCTAGGATGGTCCCCTGCTATAGCTGTCTTAGTGCAATGGCTATTTAAGGCAGTTTAATTGTAAGTCTGTCCTGAGTCTTTCTGGAGTATACAAGTGAAACAGGTTTTTTGATCTGAATTTGTTCAGCTGTCATCTAGTCAACAGGATAAACAAAGATCTCTGAATATGGTAAATAGGTCTAGCTACTCGCCTTTCTTCCTATCTTCTATACAGCTATCCCTCAAGCAGTGTCACTGAAACAAGTGTTTGGGGTTAAAGATGGACATTGTTATCCCAGGTTTAACTTCAGTTGTGGTGGCAAAACAAGGGAAGCAATGAGAACATTAGGATGCATAGCAGGCAGAATTTAATATACAGTGCTTGTTTATTTGTATGGTAAAATATGTGTAAGGTATTGATCTGAACTTGACCACCTCGGTTTGTAAAGTACCTTTGAAAGTATCTTTAAAATGAAGGGATGCAACATCTATGAACAGATTTTTTTTTTTTCTAAAAAGTTAGCATAAATCTTGCGGAGGAATTTTTCAGTTATTTTTTGTTTGGTCTAAACAGAGGTCCAGGTTTCAAGTCCTTGTTTTGGCCACCATGAGGAAATCTGATGTGTAGGAGATTTAACCTTGTGGGGGGGGGAATATTTTAGATACACAGCAAGTCTGATCTGACATATTTCAGTAGAGAAAAACTCTACATACTGTAGTTTCATACAAAGCTGTTGCTGACTTCTGGTAAAATACAAACCATCCCCTGAAATATTTTCCTTCTTTAATAGCTTTTTTGAAGAGTGGCCAAGTTGAAGGATTTTTTTCGTAGATCTAGTGCTGCATTTTTGGTAGTAGTGGAATCTAAAGGGCAATTAATATTTTAAATGGGAAACTGCTTGTTAATGAGGGGGAGGGGAAGTGATGGCTGTGCATGAAGAGTACCCTAGCATAGCACGGACTTGAGAAGGTTCCTGCACTCCAGGTGATAGATGTCTGAATTGCTGTCAATGCAAATCCCCCAGATGTTGACACAGCTCATGTAGATTGACTAATCTTGCAAATTGTTCTCTACTGAACTGAGTAATTGCTGAAGCACAGCAATCTGTGCTTACAGCTAAATTCCATTTAAAATAACTGAGACAAAAATCTATGACTATTTAATTCAGCCTTGCCCTCAGAAACAAATTATATTTGTTAACTTTTTGTTTTCGAGATAGGTATTTCTGAGAGAAGTCTTTTTTTCTTCCTCCTGTGACATTGGAGAAAATACTTAAATGTTCTCCCTGATAAAGTGTTGATTGTGCTGTTGCATTTAGGTACCAGCAGGATTTTGTTACAAGGCAATGTCTAAAATTAAAATAATCACTAAGACAGTGATGTTTGTTGGAGGGGGGGAAGAAAAAGTATTCACCAACATGTAGACGTGGAATTGTGTCATTAGTAGCTCTACATATTGATTAAACCTTGTGAATTATGAATCATATGTTCCAAGCTCAGAACAAGTCAGTTAAGTTAATGGAAATGTAGATAAGTTTCTCTGGACAGTGACATGTGCCTGGTCTGCAATTCAGATTTAGTTGTTTATTACTTGAGATAAAAGATATTTTCTGCTATTTCAAGCTCCAGTTTTCATTTTTTAATGTATTTGCCATTCTAATTTGAATTAGATTATTATAATAATAGGCTTTTGAAAGAGTTATTTTTTTTCTCAAATGATGTTGTACCTGGACTTAAGCTTTAGTATCGTATTTAGAGAAGTAATCTTCTACTCCATTGAAGTTTAATTTTATAAGCAAGAGATGTTTACACAGTATTTGTGATGAATATTTTTTTTTTAATTCACTGCTAAGAATCCAAACTTATATTTGGGTAATGACTCTTTTTATGCATTGGTTATTTTCAGCTGATAATTGCATTTCATTCCTGTTTTCAATAGCTTTAAAATTCTGCCCTCCCATTTTCCACTCAAAGTAGTAAGACGGCTTTATTGGCTTTGTGCTCTTAACTAAGAGTACACTCTGACAGGCCTTTGTTAACTGTTGTGGATAGTAAAAAATGTTAAACTACACCAGCCTTTATAAGAAGCAGGTTTAGTATCTGTGTACAGCCACTTACCAGCTTGATTACATTATTCAAACAGTCTCAAAATTAGTGATTGTTGATCAATAATTGCTATTCACTGTGAAAATGGCAACTTCTGTCTGTGTAAGCATGATGGGTGAATGTATTGTCCTGTTTACTGAAGTCTTGCTGTGAATGCAGATTTCTAATTTACATTCCTTGGCTGAAGAAGACAATAAGAGAAGTGACATCTAACAGCAAGAGCAAGGCAGCAGTCTGTTTGCCAGTGTCAGCTGGCTGCAATGTTTTTTCCTCTGTGGGGCATCTGGTTGCTACTCAATTTTAAAGGCTGTGTGAACACTGGAAGACTTTTCTTATGTTTTTTATTTTTTGTGTGGTGGCAATTTCAGAACACACTGTTACCCCATTAGAGGTCTTCCTTCAATTTCAAGTGTCTGTATTTCTGCTCCCAGGCATTGTATTTCAGTCGTCAAGCTTTTTAAGAGGAATTTGTGAGCGTTTATTTTGCATTTTGATAGAATAGCTGTAAAACATAAAAATTACTAACTTATTTTAATATTTTGTGCACTAGTGGTTTTTATGTATGGAACCACGATGAGCAATAGGATGTTACAATTCAGAAGTCGCCCTTCCATAACCTCAGGTACATTGTTAGATTAGAAGTCAGATATAATGTGCCAATGAAACTTTGTCCTAATTTTTTATTTGCCACAAAACCTGCTACTTTTTTTTTAAAGCAACTTTAGAACGAGGAGAAGGAGTTCTTACCAGTTTTAAACATTACTTGCCTGAAGTAAGAACTGCTTCAACAGGAGATTCAAAATCAAACAAGACCATCTGGCTTAATGTTTGGAGGTGTCATTTCTTTCTCTAATTTTTTGACTTATTTTGGTGACTCTCTGTTATGGTTCTTGATGGGACAAAGTAAAGTGTAGGTTAAATAACAGTATTATCCTATGAATATTGTTGCTCTGGAAGGACTTCAGCTCTTCTGTGAATAGAATCTATAATAAATCTAGCTGACTTGAGTCATATGTTAGCTTTTAGCTGTTCTTTACCACATGCTGATCTTTTGCCCGAAGCCAAGGATTTAAGTCTCAGAAAAAATAACCAGAAAACATATTAGGGTAAGGGGAGTCAAGCCAGTGGATATTTGATCAATGATTTTTAAAGGCTTGATGTTTGTAAGTTTTTAGTTTGTGGGGGTTTTTTTGTTTTTTTT